GCTCTAGCGCCTTAACAAATCGACGTATACAAATTTTAGTACCACTGTTAGTTATATTAACTCATTATATATTAATTGAACCATATTCGTTTTTTTTGTTTCATGGTCCTTTAATAATACTCGAGTAAATCTTAATTCGTGGTAAAGAGGTATCGACTTGTCCACCTTTCGCTTTCATGAAAATGTTTTTGTGGAGTAGTCTGGTCGTTGCATCTATAAATAGATCAGATCCTTACATTACCTATGCTACGACTGACGAGGCCACGGTGTACGAGACTATGTGAGCCATGAACGGAACGCTAATCCGAAGCGCGCATCAAGAGGTTAAAAAGTACGGGAAGTTTAGAACAGTGGTTCTTACGTGGGTGGTACTACCCTCTAAGGCAGGAGTCAGGAACCTTTTCGTAGGAGTCATTTTTTTTTAAGTTACCAAACCATAATATCCAGAGAGATGCACAGGTTGTTCGGTCCAGGAGCCAAACAGCATTTTTTTCTTTAGTATATATAAAATTTATATTTTATGATTCTGGATGTATTGATATATTTTTCAAAGAACCACAGATCACATTTTAAAAAGCTGTAGGTTCCTGACACCTACCCTATTTTGTTCCTTCAGGAGAGCAGTAGGTTTGAAAGATGCGGTGAACTCTCAACTTCAGAATTACGGAAAAAATAAAAAACACCAGTGTCTATTGACACGTGAAATAGACAACAATAGATCTATTTTCATTGGGAGATCTTGAATCTTCTTTACAAATGGAGTTAATCGATCTTAAACACCACAACTGTGAGACCCAAATTGTTTTTAAGCAGGTTGGTTCGTGTTTGCCTGGGTCAAGCTTAAAAATACCTTTCTACAACTATGACAAGAAGTTAAGTTGTTACTTATTCCCTTCCTGTCAATGTATCTAGCCAAAAATTTAAATTTTGAATTTTAAATATTGGTCCTTACTTGTATGGAGGGGGCGGGTGTAAGCTGGAAATTATCTCATTGAAGAGGTGTATGTTGAACTGAAAAAGATTAAGAATCACTAGTCTTCAGTGACTGAMCAAAACAAATCCGAGAATAAAACCCTGCACGTGATGTCCAGAGACCCAGAGTGGCAGATTAAAATTGGACTCAATGACATTTTCAAATGCAATTTTTTTTGGCAAAAATTAATTTAACCTAGTGCAGTAAAAAGTAATGCTTAATAGTAAGAAATTATCTTGATCTCAATAAAAATAAATTTAGTTATATTATAGGCTGTCTAACTAACTCTGAAACATTATTAATATACAATGATCTATAACATCCATTACGGTAACTTCTCTACTTTGTAGTAGAGATGTCGTTCGCGAACGAAGGATCTTATTGAACGGTTCAAAGTAGTGAACGAGTGATCCAGATCGCCAAACTAAGGTGATTAGGATCACTGATATTTTTTTCCGTATTGGTTCACACTGTGTCCCAAATCCCCGAATCATATTATGATTATACTATTATATTATTACTCATGTCACAAACGACACGAACGACGCGAACCGTTTGGGAACCACGACAATAGAACATAATATCCCCATTCAATGGTTCTGATTCAATATATGCTCAGAATAACCTATCAGATCGCGAACGGGTCTTTGAACCGGATCTTCTTGATGACCTGATCTGAATGAATCGGATCACTTAAATGAACCATAATTCCCATCTCTACTTTGTAGTATGTATCAAAAAATAGGCAACTTAAGTTACACACATTAACATCATAATATTAGATTATTAATTTGGAAAATTAGCCTTAATCTAATAATATAAGTTCTTCACAATATTTGAAATTGAAATCTATAGAAAAATTAATAAAATACAAAAAATAAATACAAACATTCAAATTAAATTTGTTCAAATATCTAAGAAAATATTATGACATAAAAGACATCACTGATAAAATTTAATTTAAAAATATTATTAACAATTATTGTTAATTTTAAATTTTGCCTTACATCTAAATAATCATTAAATGATACAATATAATTAAAAAGATATAAATTCTCTTTTATTCTATCATTTAATTTATTTTACATGATTTATGTGTCATGTTCTCTGAAATTGTATTTAAGTTCAATATCTTTAGATATATATTCCCAATAAAAACGACGTATAGGATCATAAATAGATGCCAAATCTGAACACAACTAAAAGAACAAAAAAATATTAATATTATTTCTAATGGTTAAAAACAATGCATGTACATAACTTAATCAATTCAGTGAACATACTTTTAATGCAAACTTAATTTTTTCAATGTTTTCAGGATTAGTAGAATCATCGGCATCAGTCAAATCAATCAAACAAGACATGAGGTGTGTTGATCTATTTCCCTTATTATATAATTTTGAACAAAAATCACGAACTTTATCTTCCAAGATTCCATTTTCAGAATATAATAATAATCTATAATAACAATAAATGTAATTTAATTTATATTAACAAATATGTACTGTTTTAAGTATATGATTATAATATTACCCCCTTAAATAGTTCCATGCACTTTCATTTTTTGATAAAATTTGTATTTTTCCAAATGTATACTCAATTTCTTTATTAATTATCACCATTTTTTACCAAATTTTTTCCCAAATTTTTTTTCTATTTTTTGTATTTTTCCAAATGTATACTCAATTTCTTTATTAATTACATCATTATTAGGATCTGAATTATTTACAACAAAATAACGTTGATTCCATGCAGAGTTGTTTCGCATATCATGTGATATTAAATTATCAACAAAATTCAGCTCATTCTCCATTAGCTTACTAAAATAAACACAAATCTAACATTAAACTAATTTCTAATTTTAAAGTTTAAAATTACTGTATTACCTGAATGTAGTAAGAACCCATTGTCTGTACTGCCAAGCATGGTAATTTTTGGAGTCCATGTCTAAAATATCAGCTGTAAATTCTAGTTCGCCTGATGGGTCATTCAACATTTCTACAATAGTCTTACGATATTGCCTGAAAATTAATTTAATTAGAATCAGATTATGGTAATTAACATTTTATAAAACATAATGTATAATATTATGCTACACTCCATCAACGTTAAAAAGGTACCTCGGCGGCTGACTTGTATGTGGCTTTACTAGATTCAGAAATACAGATAATTGACTATATGGATATGACAGACAGATGTCGCCTGATCACTGCCTAACAAAACCTGGTTCACCGCCAAGATGTTTGCTAATGTGGATGGAGTATAAATTAATACACAATACATACCAAACTTGGTAATTTTTAGTAAACTCGCGGATCACATTCGATATGTATTCTAATTCATTGTGTAAGTCTACTTTCAAGTGTTTAACAATTTCTAAACTGAAAGAAAATTTTTTAAATATTTTTGACCAAATGCAACGTGCACGAATCAATAAGCCATTTACCGATATATCCAAACAGTATAATTAGCTGGGTTTAAAGTTAAGGCATCTGTGACCAAGCCCAAAACCCTAACAGACTTCTCTCCTGATTTAAGAACAGCTCTGAAATAATCAAATACATCCGAAACTGTAAACAAAAATGAAAAAATCAAGTTATGTACCTATTACATTTTGCCTAAAAGTTAAGACAAGCGATATTCATAATGTCTATGTAATTAACACCCACAAAATGCTATAGCACACTTAATAATATGTCCTTTGAAATAGGTATTACAAATAGTATTTATTACATTTATTGGAGTATGCTATCTGAACCACTTGAGCTGGACCATCGTCTTGAGCGATTGGTTGTACATCTTTCCATTCCGGTCTGTCTCGATACAGTACATAATTTAAAGTATCTGCCTCATCAGACAAATCTGAACTATCAGATTTGTGCTCTTGGTTTTGATCATCCATATTGAACACAGCACCTGTGATTTTATATAAAACAGATCGACCAACAGTCCAGTCAAGTATATCAAAAATAATTTTTTTGAAAGATTCGTTCATTATTGCTAAATATATAGGTATTAGCCATTAGGTATGATCGCATTGAGACACAATCTCGTGAAGGACTGCGCACATACTGATCCATGATTTAGCATGGAATGGAAACTCAGTTAACAGTGAATGATTAGATATTAACCGCGAATTAAGATAGATATCTTTGTTTTGTTCTGTGATAGTGTTGATCATAGCCACAGATATATAAAAATATTATATATATTTAAGATATATCTTAGTCCGTGATTTTTATATATCTGTGATCATGGCTAAATATTGAGATGGGATGATTCGGTCACTTGATCAGTCAAATGATTCGGTCATTTGATTCGTTCATTTCGTTCATTCGGTCAATTTTACAACGAAGAACGATAGAACGAACTATGAAGACCTTAATCGGTTTAATCTCCTTAGAGGTTGCTGTTGTTATTATCAAATCATGTTATTTTTCCCGGGTTTTTAGGTTTAAATCACAAAATCAATTTTTTGAAATGTGACACATTTTACTCAACCATAAATTTTTATAATTAAAATTAAACAGCAATACAGTATTACTTTACGAATAATTTGTGAAAGGGAACACTTTTTAACCACATTTAGAGGTAGGGTGACTGAGTCACTAAATTAGCCATGGTGTTGATATTACAATTTACAATACCTTGGGCTCTGGTCGGTGGAAAACGCTATAAAAAAACGCTGTGTCTAGATAGTAGATACCCGGGTGCCCGTGTAGATAAAGCGTAGGTACACGGACCCATCCGTGTATATATTCGATACCCAAATTAGTCGAATTGTTAATGCGCCCGGGTATCTAGACACAGCGATAAAAAAATAGTCCAGACGCGGCTTGGGCCTTAGATAGTATTATCAGTTATCACAGAATAAAATATGAGAATATATGAATATAAATATATAAATATATATATATATATATATATATATATAAATGGGTATTATGAAATTATGATCTATATCATATTATGATCTAATCTAAGGCTCTACCTAAATGGTCTACCTCAGTCCTCAATACTGATACAGTGACACAGTATTGAAAAAAACACAGTGAAACACAGATTTGATTAAGAAATTATCCAAAATTAATATTTTTCCCATAAATTTGTCATATTTTGTACTTACAATTATTTTTCCACCTTTTGCAATTTTTTCCCTAATTAAGAATTAATCATATTTAAATTTATATTCTAATCATATTTGTTAGCGCCAACACTGGCATTATTGGTTGTCGAGGTTGTCACCCTGCGCTCTAGGCCGGTAGGACTGGACCCGGAGCGACTGCGGAGACACGTGAGTAAAGAACTAAAGAAGTAAAGACTAAAGACTAAAGAGTCAGACGAGTCAGTTGAGTATTGAGTTTTGTATAAGCGATCGGTAACGCCGTTTTCGTTACTGTGACCTCCGACAACCGATACAACCGTTCTTGTTATTATTTGTTAGTAATCCAGTACTTTATGATTTGCATGTTCTTATTAATAATAACGTTTCATTTATTTATCCTGACCCGAACTCTTTTATATAAATTACACCGTTCAAATATTGTATAATATAGAGAGTTAACAATATGATGAAAATGCATATATTTTTTGTAATAAATTGTATTTTATTTTAGTTTTTTTCTATCATAGGAAATCCATTAAAAGTGACTAAATAAATTTTATTTTAAATGGTTCAATTTCTATACAAGAGAAAATAAAATTTAAAAAATATAGCAAAAATAACTGATTTGTAAGACTATAAATTATAATAAAAGCAGGGTAAGTAGGTGTTCATACTTCAAAAACTGCAAAATGCAGAAAACTTAGAAAATTTTATGACACAAACTAAGAGCCGGTTGTACAAGCCTATAGGCTCCATCTTACCAACTCATTACATACCAACAAGGACATCAACTCAGTTTTCAATTAAGGGGCCAAAAGTTTTGAACAGCCCAAATAGATAACTTAACAACTGCTCGCAAGCAGTATATAATTTAATTTTTATCAAATTATTATCCCTAGCTCACATATTTTATAATATTAATATTTTTTACTCTAATTATTGCAAACCTTTTTATTAACTAGATAACAGCATCATTTGTAAATTGTAAAAAGAAAATAGCGGATATTTTATAAAAACAATTATTCATACGAATTAGAATTCAGTAAATTGATAAGTGATATTATTTTAAGTTATAAAAATCTGTTTTTTGTACTGATGCTTACATGTTCAAGTTTTATTTGTTTTTTAAACATTAGAGATGATTTGCAATTTTAACTTTTACTTGATCTTTTTTTTGGCGCTATTATCTATTTCTTTCTTAAGAAATAATGAAGAAACCCCAAAAAAATGAATAATTTAATTTTCTAAATTAAATTTAACATATTTAAGAATAGAAAATCATAAACGACTGGCACTAGTTTAACTGAAGTCTGAAAACAATGATAAATAAAAGTACTGATTGGTTGTTATTTATAAAATTACAGTGTCCCGTGAGGTTTTTTGCCGTTTTATATATTAACTAAAAAAATCATGTGATTAATGAAAATAAAATATTGAAAGGTCAACATTTTCAGCAAAATAAACACTATAACTTATGGTCATTTGCACCAATTTATCATTTAACTGTTACTTTACTAAGTTACACTTAAGCTAAGCTGTCCTTAAATTTAGAAGATACTTAAGTTGCATTGCACCATTMGGAAATAAATAATCTTAGTAAAGTGTTCCTTAATTCGATTTTCGTTATATTGTTCCGAACTTCAAATATAAATAACATAATGATAACACGATAACTATTGTGATAATGCATTTATCATTAGATAGCAGATGCCGAATATTGATAATCCGCCTTTATAGAATATAGTTTATACTTTATTTTATATTTACGACATCCTAAGTACTTAGTGTAAAGTTAATGAACCCTAGAATTATTAAAAATAGTAGAATCATGGGTGGATCCTGGCCAACGTGCTACAATATTTGATACTTTCAAATTAGCTCTGCATATTGCCTGCACATTAATAGAAAAGTACCCTTTTCTATTTCTATAAATCTCTGCATCATCCCCTCCTAAATATAAAAATAACTTGTCAATATAAATTTAGTTTATATTAATAAAATTA